TGTTGGGCAGTCAATTTTGGTTGGTTTTGATTTGGGTTAGGGTTATATTGTCTTTTCTTGTTTTTTGTTTACATATTTTTAATGTTTTTCAGTTTTAGTGAAAGTTAAAACACAAAAAAAATGATTCATAAGAATTTTGAGAGAGAAGGAGGAGGAGGAAGGTAGATTATTTATTAAATGCTTTCTAAAAGATTCCTTCAATCTTCATAGCAATACAAGTATCTAAGGCATCTCCAAATGTCTCATGATGGAAAATACTATGGAGTTTGAATGCAGATCGAAGCATACTATTTGCTCTTTTTTTCTGCTGTTTTGTTTCTTCTCTCTTGTGGTTCCTCCTATTGGTTCTAATTCTTCTTTACAACATGACTAATGTGAAAATATGTTTAATAGGAATATATATGTACAGCCTATATCAGATTGCATGCTGTCTTGGGGAAGGAGGTGGAGAGGGAGGGGGAGAAAATTTAAAACTCAAAAGCTTATGCAAATGAATGTTGAAAACTAAAAATTGATTAATTACTTAAAAAATAAAAGATTCCTTCAAAGTCTGGAATCCTATAGTCTTTTCAAGATTCAGGGGCGGGGGGCACAAAGTAAGAACTGATAGAGTCTGAATGGAGATCAAAACATGCAATTTTTCACTTTTTGTTAATGTTTTTTCTTTTGGTCTATGTCTTCTTTTACAACATGACTAACTTGGAAAAATAAGTAAATATATGTTTTCATTTCTAATATGGTAAATATAGATAATTGGGTGTGCTGGAGCCAGCTCCAACTGAGTATGTCAAATTTTCAATGTGAGCATTTACATCTTGGAATTCCACAAACACTATAAATTAGGACTTGATTCATTGTTTTGCTGATTGTGATGGAGAAGAAGAAAGTGATGGAGAAGATGTTAATAATACAGACTGAACTTAAAAGTTCAGGTATACTTTTTTCTTTTTCTGAGCATCAGTTGTTAAACATTTACCAGTACAACCCTGGTAATAACCCACATAAACAAAAGCTTTTCAGCATGCTCAGTTATTTTTCAGTGTAAAGGGGTCCTGAGACCATAAAGTTTGAGAATCTTTCGCCAGTGGTTTGGGGATCTACTAGGTGTGAGACACTCCATCCATGCTGCCTCATCTAATGAGACTTTTGTCCATGCCTTGACGTAAATTCTTCGCAGTTGATAAATAAACTATTCTGAAAGATTTTCCCTAGTTCTTTTAATAATAAAACCATAGAATTATAATAATACCTTGTGTTTATTAAGTGATTTAAAATTAACCAATCACTTGGCTCACCATAACCCTGGGATGGTGATAGCATAAGCAAGGGCCTGTAAAGTAGATGACCAGGGTTTGATGGCACATTAATGGGAGCATTCTCATTGACCCTTCCCCTGGACTCTGGCTTTGCTTATGAGCACAACCATTTGTTAAAAATGTTCCAAGTAAAGAGCAATTCATCTAGGAGATATCTGTGTGAACCCAACATGAGTCAACAACATGAGAAGGGAACTTTCTGACATCAGAGCTATCTGAAAATGGAAAGGACTGTCTTGCTAAGTTGTGAGTTCCAAGCCATCAGTTTGGAGTCTTTAATCAGAATCTGAGTGATTTCCTTTCCAGGAGACTGTAGGAGGAAGTCTTCTACTGGAAGGGAGATTAGACTTGATAAATCCTGAGGTCCCTTCTTTATTCTTTGAGTGTTTGTGATTTAACCTTTGTGCTCATTTGTACTAGTGTATGTTTGGGGGGCTAGGTGGTGCAGTGGATAGAGTGCTGTGCCTGGATTCAGGAAGTATCATCTTCCTGAGTTCAAATCCCGTCCTCAGACACTTACTAGCTGTGTAATCCTGAGCAAGTCACATAACCACTCTTTGGCTCAATTTCCTGGTTGTTGTGAAAATCAAATGAGATAATAATTGTAAGGCACTTAGCACAGTGCCTGGAATATAGTGCTATATAAATGTCAGCTATTATTATTACTTGGAGGTAGCTAGGTTGCTCAGTGGATAGAGTTTTAGGCCTGAAGACTCATCTTCCTGAGTTCAAATCTGGTCTCAGACACTTACTAGCTATGTGACCCTGGGCAAGTCACTACCCTTCCTCATCTGTCAAATGAGCTAGAGAAGGAAGTGGCAAACCAGTTCAGTATCTTTTCCAAGAAAATCCCAAATGTGGTCACAGAGAATCAGATATGACTGAAATGACTGAACAACAACAACATGTTTAGGGGAGGGGAAGAAGGAGAAGGGTAGAGTGACAGAGAAATATATTTGGGCTTGTTTCAAGAAAAAGCTTATAATAATTGCTGCAGTCCAAGCATAAGATGGTCTGTCTTGCCAGCCAGTGAAGTCTCCTTCACTGGAGGTCTTCAAGCAATGACCTAATGGCCACTTGTTGGGAGCAACGAGGAATATAGAATATAGGTTGGACTAGATGACTTCAGCTGGCTTATCAACTATGAGATTATAATAATAATATTTTAATATAACAATAATAGCTAGCATTTACATAGCACTTTAAGGTCTGTAAAGTGCTTTACAAATGACTTGTTTTATATTCACAACAATCCTGGGAGGTCACTGTTAATATTATCTTTACTCTGCAAATTAGGAAACTGAGGTACAGAAAGTTTAAGTGACTTTCCAGGATCACACATCTAGCAAATATCTGAGGCTGCATTTGAACTTAGGACTTTCTGACTCCAAAACCAATGCTTTCTCTGCTTTGCCATGTAGCTATCAAGATTCTGTCATTATATGACTCTGTGTTATTTTCTGTGTAACTAACTGTATGTGAAACTGAGAGTTGTTTTATGTGGGTAAACAGAAGTATTTTTGTTGAATCATTTTTAAGTAGTGTCCCCCTCTTTGTGACCCCATCCGGGATTTTCTTGGCAAAGATACTAGAGGGGTTTGCCATTTTCTTCTACACCTCATCTTACAGATGACGAAACTGAGGCAAACAGGGTTAAATGACTTGTCCATGGTCACACAGCTAGTAAATGTCTGAGCCCAGATTTGAACTCAGGTTGATGAGCCTTCCTGATTTCAGTCAGGACATTTCACTGAGCCACCCAGCTACCCAAGTATGATTACATGTGTGATTGAATGTAGATGAAACTTGGAGCATTCTAATAGCCTCCTAATTGTTCTCCTGCCTTGTCTCTCAAAATCTTCCTAATTCAGGCCCAATCACATTAATTCCTTGCTCATAAGCCTTCTGCAGCTCCTCATTGCCACTATGATAAAAGAACAAATTCTGTAGCTCTGTATGCAAATGGCCATTGGTTTTCCTCAGGTGTACAGGGCCTGTCAGAAATTTAGATGAACTGCCACTAGGGAGAGGCTTCTGAACCATTATTATGGGTCTAAACAGCCAGGCTGCCCCTAAGACTTTGTAGTTACCAAATAGGGTTATTTAATCACTTGCCTAGGGTCACACAGCTAGTAAGTGTCTGAGGCCAGATTTGAACTCCTGAAGATGAGTCTTCCTAATCCAGGCCTAGCACTCTATCCCACTGTGCCACCTACCTGCCCTTAAAATAAGTTAGAATAGTTCCAACTCACTGTGAGCCCTTAGTGGCATCAGAAACCCTTCACAAACATATTCTTGGCTACAGATCTGACTGTATATTTGTCTCTGGTTCTTTGGGGCATCAAACTAATTTAGTAACAACAGCCATTGAAGGTTACTTTTCTTCTGGAAGCATTGATCTTCTCTGACCGGCAAGAGAAACCTCTATTCCAAGGACAGACTGCTCTCTCCCGAGTGTCCAGCTCTCTCTTTCTCTCCAGCTCTAATATGGCCAACAGCAAATTCAGCACTTACTCAGCACTGACAATGCACCCAGAAGACAAAAAGTGTAGATAAGAGAAGTGCTCTGCTCTTACAGAACTTACAGTCAAACAGGGCGACTAACTGATATGCATACAATATATAAGACAAATGCATGCAATGTCAAGAACCCTCAGGAAAGCACCTAGCACATTTGGTAGAGGATTTACTAGAAGACAGAAAGAAAAGGATAAAAAATCCTGAATGCCTTGGGTTGGGATCACATAGCTAAAAGACTCACACCAATGGAATCACGGATCCATTCAACTATCAAGGAAACATCCAAGTACAGTAATAATACATTAATACAACCATCTCCCACATGGCAGGGCAGAGAAAAAGACTACCTTTGTCATCAGTATTTCTGCATATTCAAAGTAGGAATGCTCAGGAGTGAATTGATTTTTTCAATTAGAAAACAGTTTCCCTGAGGTTTTGCCAGCTTGGCTGAGCGGTATTTACCTTGGGTTTAAAATGAAAATCCATGAAATGTTCTTCTTAATCAAAACCCTAGAAGCTCCTACCTCACTTTGAAATCGGCTTCTGACTTTTTAAAAGCTAAAATTAATCTTTTTTGTGTGTCATTGAAACCTTTGGAAGGCTGATGAAGCATATAGACCCCTTCTCAGAATATTTGGAATACATTAAATAGAATACCTAGGATTACACAAGAAACTATTTATACTGAAATGCAGTTATAAAAATATTACAAAAACCAGATCACAAACTGGAGGTTAAGAGTGCCTATTTTAAAGAAATCCTACTCCTTTCCCAAAGCAGGATTTTGAACCAGATTTATTTAGCCAGAATATAAGTTCTGAAAGTAGAAATATCAATTACACTGGAGGTTTGAATTATAAAACTTTGGTTTAAATCCAGGATCTTCAGTTTACCACCTGTGAGATCTTGGGAAAATCAGTTCCGTTCTCTGGGACTTCCCAATGTATAAAAGGAAAGGACTGGGTTTCCATTTCTATTGTCCTAGAGGTAGAAGATCTCTTTAGAGGTAAAATAGAAGACCTCTAGCTTTTAATTGTTGGATCCTGGGATCCAGTGATTGAGAGATGGAAGGGACTTTATTTGTTCTTTGTTCATATGACATGAAGATTTTCTTTTTTGCTACTTATGTCTCTCTCTCTCTCTCTTTCTCTCTCTCTCTCTCTCTCAGTGACCTCCTTTCCCCATCCATCTGAAACTCTGAATAACCTTGTCCCGGATTTGCTTCATCCTAACTGCATAGACGATGGGGTTGAGCATGGGTGGTACCACTACATACAGATTGGCCAGAAGGATGTGAATATGGCGGGGGATGGTACCACGGCCAAAGCGGTGGGTGAGGAAGGAGAAAAAGGCAGGTGTATAAAACATGAGGATCACGCAGACATGGGCACCACAGGTGCCCAGAGCCTTATGGCGTGCACCTTGGGATGGCAGGCGAAAGACAGCACAGAGGATGAGAACGTAGGAGACAACAATAAGAATCGCATCAATGCCCAGTGTTGAGAGGGCTGCACAAAGACCATAGATGATGTTGACACGGATGTCCCCACACGCCAGCCGGGCCACACCCATGTGTTCACAGTACGTGTGGGGTATTGTACGATGACCACAGTAGGGCAACCGGTGGAGGAGAAAGACAAGGGTGGCAACAGTGGAGAAAGCTCGAGCAAAACCAGCCAGTCCCAACTTGCCAAGGACCTTGTAGGTGAGGATAGATGCATAGCGCAGAGGGTCACAGATGGCCACATAACGATCAAATGCCATAGAAAGCAATGTGGCTGACTCCAGGGCTGAGACAAAGTGAATGAAAAAGACCTGGGTGAGGCAGGCAGGGAAGGGGATATAATGAGCTTGGAACCAGAAGATGGCCAGGGCCTTGGGCACAGTGGTGGTAGAAAGGATGAGGTCTGTAATGGCAAGGAGAGAGAGGAGGATGTACATAGGTTCATGGAGGCTCCTCTCTGAAATGATGACCAGAGAAGGAGGATATTGCCACCCATGGCCGTGGTATACATCATAATGAAGGGAAATGAAAGCCAGAAGTGATTAGCCTCAAGGCCTGGGATTCCCAGTAGAATGAAGGAAGCTGGGTGGAGTTTGGTGTGGTTAGCTAGCAACATGGTAGGGATCAGGTCCTCCTCTGCAACTTTTGGACTTTGCTTTGGTCACTACCTAGAGAGAGGGTGATAGGGAGGAATTCAGTTCAATTAGATTCAATTAAACATGCACTTACAAGCAACTGTATTATGTATTAGGCATTGTGCTAAGTGGTGGGGAATATAAAAATAAAAATCAAATAGTTCTAGTAGCTTCTACTGAAAATGGGTGGGTAATATTGCATCATGTACATAGATAAGAGGGCAGCTAGGTGGAGCAATGGATAGAGCACTGAGCTTGGGATCAGGAAGATTCATCTTCATGAGTTCAAATCTAGCCTCAGACACTTACTAGCTGTGTGACCCTGGATAAGTCACTTAACTCTATTTGCTTCAGTTCCTTATCTTTCAAATGAACTGGAGAAGGAAATGACAAACCGCTATAGGATCTTTGCCAAGAAAACCCAAAATAGAGTCACATGACTGAAACAACTGAACATCAACACACAGATAAGAATATATAAAAGACAAACACAGTTGAAGTGCAAAGTACTTATATTTTTTGGTAGAGTAGGGAGGAAGAAGGGAACACTGATAACTATAGAGATTAGGAAAAATCTTCTATAGGAAGTAGCACCTATTCTGTACTTCGAAAAGGTCTAGGAATTTCCTGAGCCAGAGGCAAGAGACAGATGTAAGCCAAGAGATTTGATGAGAGAACTAGCGAACATGCCATATGACTAAAACACCGAAGGGACCAGGGAGATTTAGTTTGGAGAAGAAAATGCTATCTTCTAGTATTTAAGAGTCTGACATGTGGAAAAGGGATCAGACTTGGTTTTATTTCCTAAGTTTCTTCACTTCTCAAGCCTCAGTTTGCTCATCTGTAAAATAGGTAAGTTGGGTTAGACCAGAAGTTCCCAAAGTAGAGAGTCTGCGCTCTGAATGCTTTCAGGGGATTCTTAAGGTCAAAATTATTTGCATAGTAATACTAAAATGTTATTTACCTATTGAAATGCTCTTCCTTTTTCCAACTACATATCTGTGAAGCTGGACTTTCTCTATATACTTTACCAAAAAAATATATTGCAATAATTGAATCCTGAAGCAGGTATGTGAATTTGGCTGCCTTCTATTAAGCCAATATTAAAGAGATTTGCAAAAATAGGTAAGACAATGTTACTCTTTTTATTTCTTTGTTTTGGAAAAATATGGTTTTTTAATGAAAAAATGTTCTTTATGTTAACATGTAATGGCTTTATTGTTTTAAAGTGAATTAATAAATATTTAACAGGGACAAATGTACATATTCAATGAGATAGAGAGCTTTTAAACATTCTTGATGAAAAGATCAAAGCTGAATAGAATATTTGACTTTCAAATAACAATAAAAAGGTAAAGAGGAAAGGGAAATCATAATGGACTTAATAAGGTTAAACTGTTTATATTCCTGCATGGGAAAATGATACTTGTAACTCATAAGACCTTTCTCATTATTAGGGTAGTTAGGAGTATATATAGATAGAGGGTTCAAGTGTGAGTTGAGTATGAAAGTATGATATCTAAAAAATAAAAATGGGTGAGAGGATTTTACTGGGAGAAAGAGAAAGGGAAAGGTAGAATGGGGTAAATTATCTCACACAAAAGAGATAAGAAAAAGCTTTTACAGTAAAGAGGAAGAGGGGGGAGGTGAGAGGGAGTGAATGAACCTTACTTTGATCAGAATTGGCTCAGAGATGGAATGACATACATACTCAGTTGGGTATAGAAATATATCTTGCCCTACAGGAAAGTACAATGGGAAGGGGACAAAAAGAAGGTGGGTGACAGAAGTGAGGGCAGACTAGGGGAAGGGGTTGTCAGATGCAAAACACTTTTGAGGAGGGACTGGGTGAAAGGAGAGAAAAAATAGAATAAAGGGGGGGATAGGAGAGAGGGATATAGTAGGGATCCATAGGATGGAGAAATTTTGAAAAAATTTTGAAGCAAGTTTCTCTGATAAAGGCCTCATTTCTTAAACATATGGATAATGGAGTCAAATTCATAAAAAATAAGAGTAATTCCCCAATTGATAAATGACCAAAAGATACAATCGTTTTTCAGATGAAGTAATTAAAGCTATCTATAGGCATATGAAAAAATATTCTAACTCACTATGGATTTCAGGAATGCAAATTAAAACAGTTCTGAGATATTACCTCATACCTATTAGATTGGCTAATAGGACAGAATGTGGGGAAAATGAGATATTAATGCACTGTTGGTGGAGCTCTGAACTGATTCAGGAACTATGCCCAAAGGGCTATAAAACCATGCATACCCTTTGACCTAGCAATATCACTACTAGGTCTGTATTCCAAAAGAGATTTAAGAAAGGAAAAGAACCTAGATGTACAAAAATATTTATAGCAGCTCATTTCTGGGGGCAAAGAATTAGAAACTGAGGGGATACTCATCAATTGGGGAATGGCTGAACAAGTTGTGGTATGTGATTATGCTGGAATGCTATTGTACTGTTAGAAATGATGAACAGGATGCTCTCAGAAAAACCTGAAAAGACTTGCATGGTCTGATGCAAAGTGAAATGCACTGTGTACAAAATAACAACAATATTGTAAGATGATCAGCTGTGCACGACTTAGCTATTCTCAGCAATATGAACTAAGACAACTCTGAAGGATTTATGATGAAAAATATTATCCACCCCAGAAAAAATAACTGATGGTGTCTGAATACAGATTGAAACATAATTTTTTAAACTTTTTCTTTTCTTGAGGATTTTTTTTGTCTGTTTTCTTTCACAATATGACTGTTATGGTTATGTTTTGCATTACTACAAATGTATAACCTGTATCAAATTGCTTGCCTTCTTAATGGGTGGGGGATGGAGGAAGGAAGAGAATTTGGAACTCAAAGTTTTAAAAACAAATGTTAAAAATTGTTTTTACATGTAAATGGGGAAAATTAAAATACTAAATAAAAAATAAAAAAACCCAAAAAAACAAAGGACAAGCAAACAAAATAAACATTTAAAAATGTCATTGTTAATTTCTAAAATAATAAATATTGACAGATGTAATCCATGTATGCAAAAGCTCTTTGGAATACTCAACGATTTTTAAGAATGTAAAGGAGTCTTAAGACCAGATGTTAAGAATTACTAGGCTTGGCTATTTCTAAAGCCCCTTTCTGCTTTTAATACCATGGTCTTATGAAATACCCTAAAGGGACTTGGGTAGAAGTTTCACAAAGGCAGGTTTAGGGTCATCATAGGAGCATGCTTCTTGGCAATTAAAATTGTCCCCAAGTGAAAATGGACCTTGGACAATGGTGAGTACTCTATCACAGGAGGTCTTCAGATTGGGGTATGATGACCACTGGTTAGGGATATTTGAGAGGTGATTCCTGGTCAGGTATTGTTTGGATTGTTAGACGATCTGGTTTTTTTTTTTTCAGTTTGAAAATGAAAGTAGTTGATATCTCTAGCAGAAAACAGAAAGGAATTTTATCCCCCTCATTATCTATCTAGGCTGCTTTATTCAAGATAAGATAAAACTGGCTATTTTCTCTCTGAATCTTTACACTATAAACTTTGTCATCTAAACAAGTGTCTTCTTCCTCCCTATGATTGCTGCCTTTCCTCCTCATCTCATCATTTTTTCCTTTTTTTTTTTGCTTTTTTTTTTTGGTGAGTTAGTGGGGATTAAGTGACTTGCCCAAGGTCACACAGCTAGTAAGTGTAAAGTCTAAGGTCACATTTGAACTCAAGTCCTCTTGACTCCAAGGCCAGAGCTCTATGCACAGCACCATCCAGCTGCCCCTATTTTTTCCTATTTTCTCTTTCTCTATTTTAATTAAAATGTGATAAACAGTTTAGTACAGGGGCTCTTATCCTGAGGTCTATGACCTTGGTTTTAAATATATATTTTTGATAACTGGATTTCAGTATAATAGTTTTCCTTTATAATGATACTTATTTTATTTTATGCACTTAAAAACATTATGCTAAGAAGAGGTCCATAGGCTTCATCTGCTGAAAGAGACCATGACATAAAAAAGTTAATAAACTGTGATTTATGGCAGACAAACAACAACAACAACAGTAACTACAACACAAATGTGTAGTTATAATGCAGGACTGTTCTCACCAGCCATAAAATACTCTCCCAAACTACTTAATCTACTGGTTTTTTTTTTCCCCCCAGAATTGACTACCTATCAACTAAGCTGTCTTTCACGGGAGAGATTGATGTGGCGAGGCAGATTTTTCGAAGCAGGTACCAAACAGCAGGGAGCTGAGATTAATGACTTCAGGTCACTCAGGTCTCCTTACAAATTACCTAGCCCCCAAGCCTATTAATGACCCCGGATTGTTCTATTGTCGATTTGCATTTTCCACACTACTGCCTAGTTAAAAGTATCTACACAAATCTTTAACTAGAAGTATTGGGCACAACTGGTATGCTTTATCTTTTTCTCATTGCTGAGTTAAGGAAAAATTTGACTTCTGGAAGCCTCTGGCATATTCATGGCTAAGGTTTATTGCCTAGTCAGAGTGAATCTTCATGTCACAATTTTGGGCAATTTATTAAATCGATTGTAAGCTGACTTCCTTGCAATTTGTCATCATTTTGACCCACTGAGTTGCATCTGTTTAGCTTATCCAAGGGTCTTCTTTCTTCCTCTTCTTTTCATGAACGTTACCCACAATCCTCCTAACTTTTAAGACAAAAAGAGAAAGAGAAAATTTTAAAAGTCACTTAAGACGCTTGTGAATGTAGCCTTTTTCTTTGGTGTTAGGAAAAGCCTTCACTAAAGAAAAAAAAAAGCCTTCCTAGCAGCAGCCTCCTCTGGTGCCTTACTATGGCATGGAAGTGACTGTCGGCTCTTAAAAGCTGTTGACCCAACTGGAAGTGCTTCAAGAGCAGGCCCAGGGAGAGACTATGAATCTAGTACTCAAGAGCAAGCCTAGCTAAATTGGGAGACTCTCTGCCTCATGGCTGGCCACCATCAGAAGGCTGGGCACCATCACCAGAGCTGGCTACCTTGTACTTCTTTGTTGGAGTCAGAACAGTTCATGACACCACCCACTAAGCAGTGGGGGGGGGGTGCCATCTGCCTCAAAGGGCAGGCCCACATTGACACTGATCTTTTCAAGTGTTACAATTGTAAGAATGTTACAACCATCTACAACTACAATTGTAGAATGTTAGAATTGGGGAAAACTTTGTAGATCCACCAGTCTAAGGAATCCCATCTGTAACAGGTCTGAGAAGTGGTTATCCAGCCTCCACTAGAACACCTACAGTGGTAACAGCTCTAACCAATCCTCCTGAAACAGGCTGTGAGGCTCCAGAGTCAATATGTTGGTGACCAGAGCTTGTTTGTCCTCTCCTCTGAGTGTGAATTATGAGTCCAGAACTTCCTCTATAAGAGGAGATAATGAGAAAGAGCCAAGACATCAGGTCTCCTGAGCCCTCTTTCCCCCCACTACTATCCTTCCTGCCTTCCAATACATGAAGGGCAAAGTTTGGTGGCAGAGCGGGAAAAGATTTGATTTGCTTTTCTCTCAAATCTTTAGGTCAGGGGACACTTTGGGTGGCCTTCTAATTCTCCAGTCTGTTCTCCAGGACCATTCTCCCTCCAGTCTCCCAGTAGGGGAACATTAAACATACCTAGACCTAGAAACATCTCTTCCCTTCTTAGTTTCCAGTGACCATAGGGCATCCTTTGTCACTAGGTCCCTGTGCCTCAAACTCTTCAATCCCTGGCTGTGCCTCAAACTCTTCAATCCCTGGAGATTTTTCTAGAGGTCTAACTTAAAGGTCTTCAATTCTATCACTTCTTTTCCTAAGCCTGTCTAAATAACATAGGGTCAGAGGTTCTGATTCTGGAATGAGGATGGATTGATGGAAAAAAAGCATGGACACAATGGAGGTCTTCATTTTCAAAAACTGAGCCAGGAAAGTTATGGTCTCACCTAATCTTGTCCTTGGTGTGAGGTTAGAACTGACACGGAGACTCACAGACCCAGCCACAGACAGACAAATAAATGTGTTTATAAACATGAGCACACACAGTGCATGAAGAGACACCCCTGAGAAAGGAGCAGTATTTATCTTGCTCCTTCCCAGGGGACCTGGTCTGTGTGGTACAGAATGAGTTCTTGCTGATATTCAGGTCAAATTGGCCTCAACCTTCCTGCTCCTTTTAATCCTACCCCTGAGGATTAGTGATGGGCAACAGAAAAGACACAAACCCTGCCCCTCCCAACCACTCCCTCCTCTACACAAACAGTCCAGTCTCACACATTACACACTCACACACAGTTATTTACACTCAAACTCATGCCTAATTTCTCATGTACATACCACTTGAGTCTCTCATATGCATATTCAGTCAATTATCTACACAAGTGTGTTTTACATGCATACCTTGAGTCTCCCACATACACTTATACTATCATGTGCTTTCTTATACACACATATCCTGAGTCTTTGCACTCAGTATAACACATACACACACACACACACACACACACACACACACACACACACACACACACCCCTTAGTGGCCATCTAGTTTAAGCCATCTGTGAAAAAGAATCTCTTTACAACACACCTAACGATTGGTCATCCGGCCTGTCTTTGGAGGCAGAATTGTGCTGGAGGGCTAGCCAACTGTTGAATGCTCAGTGTGAACATTGTCACAAATCAGAACTCGATTTATTGGGTTTTTTTCTGTTTTTCATTTTTTGTTTTTTCAATTGTCTAGACTTAAGAAAATGATGGAGAAAATATGTGCAGATTAAACTTGAAAGTGTGTTGGTGGAACTTTTTTTTTCCTGAAGAGCCAATCGTTAAACATTTACTAATGCACCAATGCTTAAAAAATTTTGATTAAGAATGAGACACTATCTCCAGATGAAACACATTAGACTTGTAGAGAGAATGAATTGTTAGGAATTATTTTTTCTCTGACATCAAAACTAAGGTTGTTGTTGTTTCCCTCCTCCCAATGTCTCATGGTTCCTGATTCTATCCTCTGGCACCCAAGAAAACAAACCAAATCCCTTCTTCACATGATAGCTTTTTGAGCACTCTAAGACAGCTGTCATCCCTCTGCTTGCCCCTCCCCAAGTCTTCTCTTCTCCAGGCTTTACATCCCAGTAACTTTAAAAGATCTGCATATGCATTATCTCCAGATCCTTTATATCCTATTTACTTTCCTTGGAAGGTCTCCAGTTTATCAATGTTTGTTTGTTTTAGGCAATCGGGGTTAAGTAACTTGCCCAGGGTCACATAGCTAGTAAGTGTCAAGTGTTTGGTCTGAGGCCGAATTTGAACTCAGGCCCTCCTGACTTCAGGGCTGGTGCTCTATCCACCGTGTCACCTAGCTGCCCTATCAATGTCTTTTTTTAAAAAAAAGTGGTGCCCAGAACTGCACATAGTCTGCAGAGGTAGATAATAGGCACAGATGATAGTGTGCTAGCCCTAGGATCCAGAGGACCTGAATTCAACGCAGCCTTAGACACTTTCTTGTTGTGTGACCTTGGACAAGTCGCTGAACAACCTCTGTCTGCCTCAGTTTTCTCATCTGTAAAATGGGGATAATAATGACATCTACCTTCCAGGGTGGCTGTGAGGATAAAATGAGATATTATATGTAAAGCATTTTGCAAATCCTAAAGTGCTATATAAATGCTAGTTATTATTACTACCCCAGATATCTTCTAATGAGGACGAAATTAGAGTATCACTTCCTTATTCCTGGAAACTGTACCCCAATGCATCCCAAGATGGAACTAGCTATTTTTTTTTTTGCTGCCACATTACAATGGACTGATATTCATCTTATTTCCACTAAAACCTACTAAAGCTCATCTTTTTAAAAATTAATTGTATTTTAGTTTTGAACTTTCACTTCCACAACATTTTGAGTTTCCAATTTTCTCCCCATTTCTCCCCTCCCCCATCCCAAGATAGTGTACATTCTGAATACCCCTTCCCCTAATCTACCCTCCCTTCTATCTCCCCCACCCCTTATCTTATTACTTTCCCCTTCTATTTTCCTGTAGGGCAGGATAGATTTCTATACTCCATTGCCTGTATATCTTATTTCCCAGTTGCATGTGAAAACAATTTTTAATATTTGTTTTTAAAACTTTGAGTTCCAAATTCTCTCCCTTCTTCCCTCCCTCCCCATCCAACCTTATTGAGAATGCAAGCAACTCAATACAGGTTATGCATGTGTAGTCATGCAAAACACTTCCATAATAGCCACGTTGTGAAAAACTAACTATATTTCCTTTCATCCTTTCCCACCTCCCATTTATTCTATTGTCTCCTTTGACCTTGTCCCTCCTCAAAAGTGTTTGCTTCTGGGGCAGCTAGGTGGCACAGTGGATAGAGCACAAGCCCTGGATTCAGGAGGACCTGAGTTCAAATATGGCCTCAGACACACAACACTTACTAGCTGTGTGACCCTGGGAAAGTCACTTAACCCCATTACCTAGCCCCCCCCAAAAAAAAAAGAAAAGAAAAGAAAGAAAAAGAAAAAAAAGTGTTTCCTTCTGATTACTCTCTCCCCCAGTCTGCTCTCCCTTCTATCATCTCCCCCTCTCTTATCTCCTTGCCCCATATGCTCTTGTAGGGTAAGATAGATTTCTATACCCAATTAAATGTGTATGTTATTTCCTTCTTAAGCCAAATCCAAGGAGAGTAAGATTCACTCACTCCCTCTTACCTTCCTCCACTTCCCCTCCACTGGAAAAGCTTTTCCTTGTCTGTTTTATGTAAGATAATTTACCCCATTCTATCTCTCCCTTTCTTCTCCTGGTACAATCCTTTCTCACTCCTTAATTTTATTTTTTAGATACCATCCCTCCATCTTCAACTCACTCTGTGCCCTCTGTGTGTGTGTGTGTGTGTGTGTGTGTGTATGTGTGTGGATGGATAGACAGACAGATAGATAGATAGATAGATAGATACACACATACATATATACATACATATCCCTCCAACTACCCTAATACTTAGAAAGGTCTCATGAGTTACAAATATCTTTCCATGTAGGAATGTAAACAGTTCAACTTTAATAAGTCCTTTATGATTTCTCTTTCCTATTTACCTTTTATGTTTCTCTTGAGTCTTGTATTTGAAAGTCAAATGTTCTATTCAGTTCTTATCTTTTCATCAAGAATGCTTGAAAGTCTTCTATTTTACTGAATGTCAATTTTTCCCATGAAGGATTATACTAATCCAAGCCCTCTGGTCC